GGAAGGTGTGGCTCAAGCGGTGGAGTCCCGGCTATGAACAGAAAAGCTGACGAGCACAGAGCCCCAAGTTCAAGCTCTAGTACTGGCACCAGAAATTAAAATCAAGTCCTCTGTGGGCAGAGAGGAGTTGGGTCATTCTCCAGCCCGCTGCTGGGTGGCTGTCCTCTGCCCCTTCCTGGCTAGAGACGCTTGGTGGTGATTTGCACTGCAGGAGCTTCTAGGGGACCCCTGGAGATGTAGGGGTGGCACCAGGCGATGCATCAGCCCCTCACCTTGAGCCTTGAACAAGCTCGCCTGGGAGCCAGTGGCGTGGCAGGACACACGTCTCCCACCCTCCCACCGGGCATTGCTTGCAAGGCCACAGCGGTGACCCACCCGGTGCCACTGAAGCCCGCCCACCCGCCCGCCCGCCCGCCCGCCCGCGCAGCGCACACTGAAGGTGAAGGCCGAGTCCTCCTCCCACCCACACCCCCTCTGTCCTTCCGTGGGGGCCAACACAAAGGAGGAACTCAGGAACACTACAGCTGGGGGTGGGGCTGAGCGGGGCTGAGGGCCAGAGAGGGCCCATGGGGGTGGCGGGGGGCTGCACAGCAGCGGCTGGCACGGCGGGCTCGGGGCGTCTGCGCCCTCCAGGGGTCACTGCCCTGCCAGGACCGGCAAGGCTCCTCCCAGCAGCCTGGGCAGGTGAGACAGAGAAGGAACGAGGAATGAGGAAGAAAGAGCTGAGGGGACTGTGCGGACGTGCAGGCAGGGAAGGCCACCCAGCCCCTGCCGGGGTCCACGCGGGCAGGGCCACGGGCCAGGCCAAGGCTGGAACCCCGGGCGTCGGTGTGGGCTGGAGCCCAAGGCACAGCTGGCCTCCAGTCCCTGCCCTCGCATGCGGGAAACCTGGCCGGCTCTGGTGAGGGTCTCCCTCCTCCCCGGGCCCTACCAGCTGGCCTAGAGCAGGCAGGAGCCTGCAGGCAGCTCCCTGGGGGGAGGGGTCCAGGCGGCCAGGTTTGCAGCCCATCAGAAGCTATGAGCTGGGGGAGCCCTGGCCCCGCCCACTGGGCCATCTCGGGGCTGACATTCCTCCAGGCCGCTGGCCTTATAAGGCTGCCTGTGGGCACCTCCTGGAGCGGCAGAGCCCTCGCCCTGCCTGCCCCACAGGAACTAGCTGGGCCAGGCCCAGGGTAGGAAGGGGCCTGCTGAGGCTTTGGTACTCTTGGGAAAGGGCAGGGTGGGTGGCCCCCAGAGACCAGGCTCAGGGTCCTTGGATGCCACCAGCCTCCTACGTGCGGGGAGCCCCCCTTTCTGTCTCCCCCTGAGTCTGAACTACTCAGGAAGCTGAGATCTGAGGATCACCATTCAAAGCCAGGGTGAGTAGGAAAGTCCATGAGACTGTATTTCCAATTAAATGACAAAAGCCAGAAGTGGAGCTGTGGCTCAATTGGTGGAGTGCTAGCCTTGAAGCTCCAGGACAGCATCCAGGTCCTGAGTTCAAACCCCAGAACTGGTATGCAGGCACACATGTACATGTACACACACACACACACACACACACACACACACCCCAGCTGAAACAGGGTTGGCCAGCGGTAGATGCTGTTGGTGTGCTGCAGTGGGCGGTGGGCTGCGACCCTTTCCTGGGTGAGGGGGGAGCCCCGGACCCTGGCCTCAGGCCCCAGCATGGAGCCTGTACCTCATCCCTGAAGGACCAGCCCCTTCCTCTGTTGGATCTCCAGGGTTCCCAGGGAGCACGCTGTTCCCTCCCAGGAGGCCGGTGGCCTGGGGGACCTGAGGCTTGTCCTCCAGGCCAAGGCCTGCCAGGCAGGTGAGGACAATGCCTTCATGGATGCAGCTCCCCTCCTGCCCCCCCCCAGGCTGCTCCTCCTTCCAGATCCCAGAATCCAGGATTGGAGAGCCTGAGGACAGACAGGACAGGAGTTGAGGCACAGAGTTAAGAGACTCCCCTTGGGACATTCTAAGTGTCCTCTAAGCTGCGGGCTCCTCAGGAATCTATGCAGCCCAGGGCAGGTGACCCCCAGGGGCTGGCCCTTCACTCCCTGGGGTGTGAGGACCTCTCTCTACTCCAGGGAACAGCCTGAAGACGACTTAGACTTAATGATTGAACACTCCAGCCAGGAAGGCCAGGCCTCTGAGGGAGGGGGGAAGGAGGCAGTCACACAAAGAAGGCGGGGGGCACAGGATCTGGATGGAGGTGGCAGGTCAAATCCCAAGTGAGAGAGGTCAGAGGCCTGTGGGGTGCTTGGGCCTCCGTCCTTAGCCAGAGGCGCCCAGGCTAGCGAAGGGGCTTCTAAGCTGGAGCCTGGATTCTGAACTCCTAACTCCTGTTCTGAGGACTGTGTGCAGCACCACGAGTCCCTCAAGTCCAAGTGCTTGTTGTAGATCTGGGTCCTCCATGCAGGGCTCTAAGCCCACGCCTCGCTGTAACCCTAAGGGGACACAGTGAGCGGGGTAGAGGAGAGGTGCCCTGGTCCAGAGAGCCGGCACGGGAACCCCCTTTCTACCATCTGTGTGATCTCTGACCTCCTACCATCTGTGTGACCTCTGACCGCTGCTGCAGCAGGTGGACGGGATCACAGCACCTGGTGGGTCTCTGGTGCTCTTGGAGTTTGGAAACCAGAGCCTGTGCTATGAGCACACACAGCCTGGAGGCCCTGGGGCTGCCACAGAGCGGTGCGTGGGGCCGGGCCGTGGAGGAACCTCGAAGTCAGAAGCTCTGAGAACCGGGCCAGGGCCAAATCCTCCATTCCTGGTTGGCATCAGTCCAGGGCCTGGCCTTGGTGACCACCAAGAGCCCAGCGCGTCCTAGAGGGGGCTGCAGCCACCAGGGAGACCCCCTTCTTCCAGTCGCTTCTCAGGCAGGAGAGGCCCAGCTCCCTCATCCCACCCTTTGGGAGCAGAACGTTGAAGAAAGGCAGCTTCCCTGGGGGTGGGCAGAGGCGCGCTTGCCCGGCCCCGGGAGGAGAGGTGCAGAGGCCGGCTCTGGCCCCCACCCCGGCCGCCGCCTCCACTTCAGCTCCCCCAGCTCTCCGGCTCTGGGCTGGGTCCCGTAGTGACCCATAGGCCTCTTCCCCCAGCTCCCTGGCTCTGGGCTAGGTCCCTTAGTGACCCACAGACGTCTTCCAGAGCTGTTGTGCTGAGGACCACATTACACAGCTTGGCCCGGCAGTGGCCAGCAGAGATCAGAGCTCCACCCTAGAGGTTTATATTGTCCTGATAAGATGTTTTCCTGGCTGAATCCTCCTGGTGTCTGGCGAGTCTGTGTTCTCTTCAGAGGACGGACTGGACCATCCTGACACAGAAACCAGACACAGTTCCTGGCTTCTCTGCTCCTTGGATAGAAATAGAAGTTTCACCACTGCTAGCTGGAAGGGTTTCGGAGCAGCCCTGAGAGAGGGACCATAGCCTCTGATATCCCCAAACTTGCCGCCAGCCTTCCCCAGGACTGGGACTGGAGCCTTGAGGGCCCTGCGCTGATACTGGCTGGAGCACAGAGAGCCTGCCGCGTGCAGCCCTCCCGGGGAACAGAGACATGTGCAGACGGGCTCAGGATCATCAGTTCCCTGTTGGCGCTTGCAATCTGGAGCCTGGAGCATTCCACGTCCCCAGTGTGGCTCCCGGGGGCCAGCTCAGATGAACTGAGCCCCATTCCCCCTAGCTGTCCCACAGTGGGCCTGCAGGGGCCCCGGGGCACCTGGGAAAGGAGCACCACTGGAGCAGGGGCAGGTTTGCTTGGCTCAGGATCCCAGGCTGAGGAGAACCGGCCAGACCCCTGGATGGGGCTGTGGGGAGGGGGCGCCCTTCCCTCCAGAGCTCCCGACCCCAGACTCCTGTGGCCCTGGGGCTGGTTGAGGGGCTCCAGATGTTGTGTTGCCTTAAGGGAGAGCAGCAGGGCCTGTGCCCTGCTTTCCTGGCCTTACTCTGGCCTGGGCACCCTCTCCTGTGGGTCCAGGACAGCTCCCTCTCTGTGTTCTTGATTGTCTTAACCCTTGTGGCTTCAGTGTCCCGTCTGTAAGGGGGACAAGTGGTTGGACTGCCTGTGCGTCAAAGGAGAACAGGAGGGACTCCCATTCGTCCAAGTGGTGAGGATCCAGAACCTGAGCTGGTTAGCTGCAGGTGGGGGACAGGGAGGAGCTCCGCCCCTCCCCAGCTCGGGCAGCTGCTGGGATATCTCCTTCACCTGCTGGCTGCTGCCCATCTCCAGACCCAGCTGGCCTCTCCCAGTGGCGTCCGGATGGGGCAGAGGATGGATGCTGAGCCAGCCTGTGTGACTTGTCTTCTGCCCACTTCACCCGCTGCTGCCCAGTGCCAGTTGCTCGTGTGGGGCAGCTGTCTTCTGGGAAGCAGCTACCCCAGGATTAACCCTCCCCACGCCAGCCGTTCTTCCTGAGTCAGCACATTCTCCGGCAGTCATTCCTCCCTAAGCCTGGCCAGTTCTCTGGACAGCCTGGCCTGGCCACTAGGAGGCCGGGAGGGCTCTTGGCCGCGGCTGGCTCTGGGCTGAGTCTCTGCCGACCAGCTCCCCCAGGGATTGGTGGGAAGCCTGCAGATTCTCAGGAGCCTGGCCAGACCCTGGGGATAGTGTGCATCTCAGCCTCCAGCCCCCATGATGTCAGGGCCCCCAACTGTCCAGGGGAGCGGGGCCAGCACACATGGCCTGGTGGGCGTGGCGAGGATGACCTCTGGGTGCAGCAGGGTGGGGATCTGTCTGCCTCCACCCAGCTGTCCCTCACCGGCTGAGCTGCTTCCTCCAAGCTTCCAGCCCACCTGGGAGCACCCGGTGCTCTGCACCACCTGGAGCTTCCACAAAGGGGAGAGGCCTCCCAGCCTCGCCCAGGTGGGGGAGCTAACTGAGGCTCTGGAGGGATTTGGGAGGCACCGTGGAGGGAGCATGGGGTGGCCCCTCCCACTGCCCAGTTCCCAGCTCCACAGAGAAGGGCCGCTCAGTGCCTTGGGATTGGGGAGTTTAGGAGGCTGGGGGCGGCCTGGAAGGTATGGCGCTGTGCAAGCTGTGGAACCCTCTGGTATGGTTCAGCTGCTCACCTGGAGCCCTCACCAGCACCCACTGTGGTCCCGCACTTCATAAACTCTCTCAGCCGGGCCCCGCCCCGGCCAGAGAGATGGGAACCCCACCACCAACTGGGGACAATGGCTGGGCCGGCCGGCCCAGAGACTGGGGGAACTGCCAGCCCGGCAGCTGTGGCCCCACCCCGCCCCAGGGCTCCCCTCGAGGCCAGTCTGGCCCCGGAACCCAAGGGGAGGCGGAGCCCCAGTGGCCGAGGCCGCGGCCACCCAGAGGCCGGCACTGCGCCGCGGCGCTGGGCCCCGTCCCCGTCCCCGGGCTGTGGGCTCCTCACCAGGGGCCGGGCAGGGGCGTCGCTCGGAGCACGGGTCGGACCTGGCCGGGCAGTTGGAGCCCTCGGTGCTCAGCCACGCGGGCCTCCCGCCCCGGGCCCGGTGTGTCCGCCCGCGCCGCCAGGAGCATCCCTGGTCCTCGGCTCTCGCGGGCACCTGCGACCGCTCTACTGGCCCTTCGCCCTTCTGGAGAGCCGGGCGGAGCCCAGCTGGGACCCGCTGGGGCCGGCCGGAGCAGGGCAGGGCGCCCGGGGGCGGGGATGGGGACCCCCACCGCGGCCATCCCGGGACGGCGGCCGGGCCGGGCCCGGGGGGAGAGGCGGCTGACTGTGCGGTGCCCGAAGTTGGGAAGACAAAGAGGAGAGCCGCAGGGCCCGGAGGGCCAGGCGGGCGCCGGGACCCGGAGACAGGGCCGCGGGCCGGGGAGCGGGGCAGA